AAACAGATTTCCGCCAAAACCAAAAAGAAAGCAAACTCCTTAAAACCCAGGAAAGTGGACGCGTGAGCATGAGGGTGACCAAAAGAAAATGAATTCCTGGCAAATTATTGGCTATCAAATAGCCAACTTTTGAGAAAATGGAAAAAAATTTCAAGTTCCACAAAAAATGAGCGTGATCAAACAGGGCCGAATTGTTTTGTTTTTCTTGGGTAGCTGCTATTTTTTTCCCATTGCATTTTGCTCTTAATTTTTTATATGAGCTGGGGGACAGGTTTGGGCTACAGCCCAGGCCTCCCCGACCTCCGCCCCTGGGTCCCACGAAATAAGTGGTGAAAAAGTGAATAATAATTGTGGGATCATATTTAACGTGTAATTAAGATTAATTGATTACTTTTGCCTCAACTTTTTATCATTCTTTTCAGTTCTCCCAAATTAACAAACACTAAGTGAACAAGTGGTAGTGTTACTTCTTAGATAGCTGGTGAGGTATAAAAATGTACTATCATAAAAGTCTCCAACTAGCACTAGTTGTCAACCCCAATCGAGCCTTTTTTGTCAGTAATTGTCATTACTACACAAGATCCAAGAATTAAATGTTAATGAAATAATGACCAAACCCCATTATGATTAGTTTAATTGTCTTAATAGTCCGTTATTAACGAGAATTATATAATGTTGTGATATTACAACCTACCGATTTCAAATCTTATCACGATCAATTTATATAAGTTTTGCCTGTTAATTTTTTTTTTAAAGAAATGGTAAATATGAAAGGTATACAATATAAATATAAATATAATATAAATAATTATTTTTTTCATACCAAATGGGCAGAGTAATAGCAAATCTACAGTAAATCACGGTATTTTAACTCACACAACGTCTCAACAGGTTCAACAAAGGGCCTGACTTTTAGGTTGAAGGTTGAAAATTCAGCAATCCCTATTCGGGACGAGGTTAGGGAACATGATCTCTGTCACAAACCCGTCCACGACTCATAATTTTTAATTTTTTTTTCAATATATATCAAATTTCAACTCAAAAAAACATAAATAAATGGGATGAAAAAAGAAGATTAAAATGTCCCACGTGCCTCCTGAAATTCCACAACAAGGTCTGTTCTCCCCTATTGCCATCCACAAACTTCTCCTTGGAAGGAGCAAATTGGAGAATTTTTTTTTAGAAAAGACCCTTTTACTAATTATTTCTTATATTGATATTTTTCAAAAAAAGTATTGATGTCTCCTCCTCAACCCCCATCCCTCCTCCTTCCCACTATTATTTGCCTCTTCCCCTCGTTGCTATGCAACTAACCCATTTGAGATTAGAATTAAAAATTGATTTTGATCGAGATTATATTTTAGACCAAACAAACACTTTTATCTTCATTGCTCCACTTTTGCTTAATATACTTTGTAACGATGAAAGATGTGTTTTATCGTGACTCTCTATAAGAAAAATATCCACTTTAAAACTTCTTTCGAAAAACACCCACCTTATAAATAAATATTTGTCCTCATCCGAGATGCGAAAATGAATGACAGCTCAGTCAAAAGGAAAAGGATACACTAATGCAAAAGAACATTGAAATGTGAAAAGATGAATTAAATAGGAGTTTGCTTAGAAAATAATAATTTGCCTCCAAACGGACGCAGAAGTTTAAAGGTAGG